CTGCCAGGTGAGGTGGGAGGATTTCACGAGCAGGAATACATATCAGGCCTAAATCAGAAGCTCAACAGACGAATCTCTTTTGCCTCACGTTGAGGAAGGACCTCGGCCAGCGGGCCTGAGCTCAGCTAGGGGATGAAGCCGGCACCCCCCAGTGGCATCAGGCCAGATTCTGGTCCCAGAGGATCCTGGGTCTCTGCGTGTCTAGCTGCATCCGCATGGTGGGCCCAGCAGTTGCAGCTGGCAGAGAGGAAAGAGAAGCTGGAGGAGGGGGGGGCTCCTCGGGGTTCAGGAACATGGTTAGCTGTTGAGGAACTCCTATGTAGGGGCAGGAATGGGGTTTGATCCATGGGGACAGGGTGGTCACAAATGGCTCAGTGACACAACCCCTGGGTCTGCTGGCTCACATCCCAGCAGTTTTGGTTAGGGAAACCCAGGCCTGGGCACCAGCTGAGGATAGGGCAGCTGCTGCTGGGAATGACCCCAGCAGAGGATAAGCCAGGGATGTCTCTGTCCAGAGACATCCCTTACTACTATCTGGGTCCTCTACAGAAGGGAGGGCTTGGGGGTCAGCCCATGCAGAGAGACAAAGAACGGTCCCATCTGGGGGTGGGGGCAGCCCTAAAGCGCTAACTGAATGCCTGCAGTTTCAGAAGGGAGGGGTGCCTTGGGGAGTGTATGTGTAGGCAGAGCTGCTACACCAGACAGGGCCAGAGATGCTGCAAGGACCAACAGGAAGAGGGTGAAAGAGAAGCAAAAAAATCGTACTCTCTGGGGGAGGAGGGGCAGGAGGACACTGGAGCCTCGCAGGGGAAGCGGAAGGAGCAGAGGAGGGCAAGCAGGGCCTGATCTTGGAGGAACAGGAAGACAGGATGATGGGGCACCTGGCTTGGCTGCTGGGGTGACTGACACATGTTGGAGATCTGCATCTGATGGTTACAGATGCAGGGTGGAGGACAGAACAGAGAGGCTGAGGGGCTGCTGGCCTCTCCCTCGACCTCAGGCCGCCCCTGCCCCTCTGTGCCACAGGGCCCTGCCCTGCGCTTCCTGATAAAGAGAATGGGAATGCATCTTTTACACCACGAGTGCACTCTGCTCTGGGATGGGTCAAGTTCAAAACCAGCACCATCCCACCCACCCTCTTCAAGGTTCTTCTAGCTCCCAGCCCCAAGCCCCACCCACCAAGGATGGGAGGAGCCCTGATGGGACCTTGGGGTTGGAAAATCATTCTGCAAGGAATGCCCTGGCCTGACACAGGGGTCCCACTGGGCCTGAGGCAAGCCTCCAGGGAAACCCAGGCTGTTTCTGGACTTCAGAGCCCCTGCTAGATTCACCAGGTTGTCTGCCTGGTGGCAGGAGAGAGGACAGTGGCCTCTTCCACCCTGTCCATGAGCTGGTTTTGTCTCCAGCCCAGCTTCCTGTGAGCTGGGGGCTGGGGTCTCAGAACGCCTAGCACTTCTAGCGTGGATGGAAGTAGGGGACTGGGGCTCTGCCCTGCTTTGATTGTGCATCTGGGTCAACAGGTGGAGCTCTGCCCAGAGGGCCATTGTAGTGTCACCAGCTCCCCAGGGAGGAGGCTGCTGGCACAGGGCCTCTCCAGCGTGGTCCTCTGCATTCTCTTCTGCCCCTGCCCCCAGCCCTCGAAGACAGTGTGGTAGGCGTTGGGGAGGGCCTTCCCCACAGCCCCCACGCGAGGCTCACTGCTCCCCGCGGACCCAGCCACCAGCCCCAGCCCCTGACTGGAGCCTCTCACACTTCCACCTCTCCAGTGGCCCTGCCCCCTCCTGGCACTTCGGCAACAAAGCAGCTCCGCCTCTCCGCCCCCACCTGCAACTCCTCGGGCCCCTGCACCGCGCCCCTCCCCTCACCCCCCCCCCCCAAGTAACAGCTCCGGCTCTGGGGCACAGGCTGGGGAGAGGGGATAGAGGGGCTTGACAGCTCAGGCCGCAGGGAGCTGGGGGTCTTCCCCGCAAACGGCTGATTGAGCAAGTAATTCCTGGTCTAGCCCCTACTGTCCCCTCCAGATGCTTGCAAGCCACCACTTGTTCACGTACTGCACATTTATTGAGCGCCTATTATGCCTCGAGGGCCTTCCAAGCCAGCGCACCAGAGACGGCTCTGGGGAGGGGGCACAGCACGCCGCGCCTCGCCTGGGGGCGGGTGGTCTCGCC